TAATACACAGAATTTATGTAGCTCTGGTCACTTTATTTCCATTTTCATCTAAATGGTATTAAAAATAAAAAGTAAAAAAATAAGATTAATCTGACTTGTAAAATTTTGTTTTGAGAGATCACCTCCATTACTATGCTCAAAATGCTCAATATATCAATGATTTTCTCAATGTACAGTTAAATGTTTCCAAATATTTACAATTCTGCCTTATCTCTGATCTTTAAACTTCTTTTTTCTCTAATACAGGTATTTGCAACATGTCAATTCATCTCAGGTAAATTTGTCAAATAGTCTTATCAGGGAAATAATAAAAAAATCCCTCTTCAAATACAAAATTTGGATTATTCTAGGAAAAGGATTGGTAGGATGGAATAAGAACTTCCCTTAAGATTTCTGCCCATGATATACAGGTAGCAATGCAATTCACTATGAAGGTTTAGAACTGAAAATTTTCATGCTAGTTTAAAATGATCTTTGGAGAAAAAGCTTTGTATTTCAGGCAAAAGAGAATATGCAACTTCGATTTGTACTAGGAAAAACTAGGTATCAAAATAATGACATATTCCAAAAATAAAATTGTGACTAAATAATGTAAAAAAATTATGACTCAGTATATTCTGGAGATATAGAATCCTAGTCTAAATGTGATGTCATTTTAGGACAAATGACATCACATTTGTCCTAATGTGAAGTACAGCCACAATTCTTTTTTTAATTGTTTTTTTAAAGATTTTATTTATTTATTTTTAAAGAGAGGGGAAGGGAGGGAGAAAGAGAGGGAGAGAAACATCAGTCTGTGGTTGCCTCCCATGTGGCCCCCCAGTGGGGACCTGGCCTGCAACACAGGCATGTGCCCTGACTGGGAATCAAACTGCCGACCCTTTAGTTTGCAGCCAGCACTCAATCCACCGAGCTACACCAGCCAGGGCTTGAGCCACAGTTCTTAACACAAATGTTGGAGAATTTTTCTGGGGTTCTTCACTTCTCTGAAATTTTTCATAAATGTAAACAAAGTCAACGATAATCTAAGAGTTACACAGTATAAAATCATAATCAGAGTACACTGAATGAAAACTTTATAAATGAGTAAAGATAACCAATTTCAATGACCAAGTTAGCACTGTTCATAGGAGCTGCTGGAAAAGTCAGCTGGGCTAGATTAAGAACGGTCTTTTGAAACTTGCTAAGGAGTCATTTCAGGAGCTTCTGAGGAGAAATGTAATGGTAAGATCTGCATTTTTAAAAGACCATTTACATATCCCTATAAAGGGTGAGATGGAGGCCAAAAAACAACAACAAAAAGGTGGGGGGGACTAATTAGAGGAAACTATTAAAATACAGATAATAAACTGACACCATAGTGACTATGAAATAGAAACGGAAAGATAGTTAAGGGATAGAATCCATAAAACCGGGTGAACAGATTCACTATGCAATGAGAGGGAGGGGGTTATTGAAGACAAAAGAGATCAACATAAAAAGATTGTCAGTATTTTATGTTTATAAAATACTCTCTGTGAATTAAAAGATAAAATATGCCTTTGTTCTTGTATTTTTAAGAATCAATTGACTATTTACATTTCAGTCTATACCAGTAAATTATGTATTTAACTTTGTAACTATTAAAAGTCAATGATTTCATTTTTATATCATGAGTTGTGCAATAGGTTTGGAAATTTTCCCTCTCCTTTGCTACATGCTTTATTTGAAAAATCTAGCTTAATGCCTTTCTATACATCTTACTGAAGTTTAAAGTCACCCTTTTGTTACTGTTTATTTGGTAGTTTTATAAAATGTCTTTCCTCTGAAATGTTGAGGTTTCTAAATGGAAAAAAAAAAAGGTTTACTTTTTTCCATCAGCACACAAACACACTGTCACAAAAAAATAATAGGAGGGAATTTCTGGTCACATTGTTACATTTCATGTAGGTCTTTGACTATGTGACTGATTTCTCTGTAATAGCTTTTACTTCCTTATTCATTAAAAAGACGTTTTAGCTGTCTCATCTCACTGTCTAAAACAATGTTTGGTATATGGTAGGTGCTAAATAAATATTTGTTAAATATTGAATAAAGTAACGAATTCATGTCTCAAATAGCAAGTGTATAACTGTCAAGTCCCAGAGGAGGGTTGCTCACACTTCATTTAATAAGAACTATAAGAGTCCCTCTACTGGATCTTCTTTCTTTTTCTGTACAATCTACCAACCCCAGCCTGGGTTCTCTGTTAGCTGTTCTCATATTTCTTCTCCCTATTCCTCACATCAAAGGCTTTATAGGACTACTAATTTTTTTATTCACCTATGTTTCTAAAAGAAAATCACTGCATTTAGTTCCTGTGCATACAACTGTAACACTGCAAACAATCATGACTGAGTACAAATCACTTCAAATCAAGAAGTTATTACGGAGCACAGATTGTATGTCCAGGACAGGGCTAACTGCTAGATGCAATAGTATAGACCTCTTTTATAAATGGAATATAAATGCCAAAGAAATTTGATTATCTACTATTATGCATCCAGTTGAACAGCACATGAAAAAGTTCTCCTTTTAGTTAGGAACTTAGTATCAATTCCTTTTTTCCTTGAATTCATATTTTTATCTCACTTCCCCACATAGGTTTATTCCCAATATATCTTATGCCTGAAAATATCTTTAATTGATCATCCTATCATGTTTCCCTGAAATAAAAGTATATTTTAAACTTCTGAAAACGTAAATTCTGAAAATTTTCCTTAGTATTGTTATCATTGAGTTACTGTAACACTACTGATCAAACAACACACATACCACAAATTATGACCACTATGAAATACTAAAAGCCAGCTTTTGTAGAAAAGCATATCATAACGAAATGGACAGGGTCTTCCTCCTCCCTTCCCATCACCATTTAGGTCAGGTATCCAGAATGAATATTATTGCTAGAAAAAAAAGAGTTCAGGTTAATACTATTCTTATTTTTGGTATCCTTCCATTTTAAATATTTGGGAGTAGGAAATTCTCTGGTTATACCAATAATCATGCTTTTAAACTACTATATAATGTATCAAAAATCACAGGGGGTATGTCATCAAAGTGATTTTTAATGATCAGATGACAACTCAATTGAGTTCTTCTGCAATATTATTAAAAGCCATTGGCAATTACCATTCTGGCAAACGAGTGAACTACCCAGTTATTAAAATCATTCACTTTCTAAAGAAGATTGAGGTTAGATTAAAAGTACTGCTTTATTAGAGAGTGGAAGAGATGCCATTACCAAAGGGGAAAGGTTTCTGATACAGACATACTCTAAGGCAGGTCAATTTTAGCAAAGAAAACATGCACGTTGACAACCTGAAACTTAATACCCTTAAACTATTCTTTGTATAGTCCCTTGGGAAGCCTTCATGTGCCTTCCACTATTAAGGGTTGGCGACGTGTGTTGCCCAGTTTGAAGACTGCTCCTTCAAGATACAGATTTGGATGTACACGGTGTTAACAAAAACCACAAGGTGGTTCACAACCTTCTTTGTGTGTGTGCTTTTTGCATGTGTGCGTGATAAGGTATGGGCAGATACCAGGTTTTTCATTTTTGATAGTATTTTTTAATCGGCTTTTTATCTCTGTCACTAAATCTGTTTCTTTACCCTAAAGCTTAACCTGGATATGAAATATGTGGAGGAGAAAACTCATCAGAAAAACTTAAAAATACTGCGCTAAATAATTTCTCCTTTACTCAAAGAAAAAAATGAATTTGTTTTATAAGTCTCGAATTATTCTTAATTATGAAATTTTCAAAATAAAGAGTATTTCGGTATCTATGAATCAGATACCAAATTATTTTATTTTGGATGACTTTGGGTGCAACTGATTTTGGTAACATTCTTCAATATTCTACTAGCTAAAACACATGGCTTGGTAGTACACTTTTAATTTTTTCCCACTACCGTGACTGGCTATGGTTTAACCTCAGGAATGAACTAGGTTTGTTTTTAAATTTGTATAGCGCATTATCCAGGCAAACAAACAGGATTGATTCTTGCCCACAATATTAAAAACACTGCTCTCTTCCCTGCCCCAGCCTGAGAAGTCGAGCCAATCAACCTTTCTAAATAATTATATTAATATAGATGTTTAAATACTTTAAACATACCAACTTTAAGGAGTGGTCTTTGTTCATAAGAACTGCGAATTTTCATTTAAATCTAAAACAAAAAGGGAGGCTTAGCAACAATAAAAAATAATGTAAAATAAACCCTAGACTGAATCAATCCTTTGATGACTTGACACTTGGGCTGACGAATTAAAAGGCGATGCAAAAACACCTGCCCACAGAACAATATTTAAGCCTTCATTTGGCGAAAGCACTCCGCAAAGACGTGGCCAGGAGCGTAATTGTTGACAGCTGGTGGTTCATGAGTATAAACTGCTTGTAATTACCTTTTTCTCGGTTACTCCTTTAACCAGAAATAGCCTTAAAACACGAGGGCTCCGTCTGGCTGCGACTTCCAAATACGATAAAAAGACAACTACTCAGAACTCCACAGCTCAGGGATGTCATTAGAAAAAACCAATGGTGGTAACAATTCCAGAGCAGCTGGTACTATCACCAAACTCCAAAGGTGTGCCCTAAATTTAATAAATTTCACATTTTTTAAAGAGTTCTGTGTGGAATAACTATGGGACTTTCTTCAAAGATCGCGCGAGGGTTCGAATTACCCTCCAGGAAACAGAGGAGGGGGCGGGGTATATGGCTCCCCACGTCCGCCCCTAATCTACACACTTGCACCGTGACCGGTTTCCCAGTTCTTCCCAGCAACCGCGAGGGGACCGCGCTGTAAACTAGTAAAGGCGACACCGAGCGGAGCAACACGTAGCACACGCTCTCCGGAACCCTCAACTTCATTCTAAAAGAAAAGGACGCACTAGACTACACCAATAGAGGCCAAGAGACTAACCGCAGCGTCGTCAAATTACGCTCTTACCCAATTCTACCAGCACCCGCTCGAACTCACCGCGTTGCCGCGGTCCCGCCCCGTCCTGCTGCGAAGACTCACGGGACACGTAGTACGCCACGCCCACCTTCTCCCGCTCCCAACCCCGCCCTCCCAAGCTCCGGCTCTCTCCTCCCAGCTCCCCCAGGCCTGACTTCCGGTCTTCTGGCGCGGCCTCGGTTCCGATCTAGAGACTGCGGCAGTCCCTTTTCCGCCTGAGTGCAGCTCTTCCCAACACCCCCTCGACGGGATTCCCCCTCCGCGTCGTGCGATGCGGCCGCGGGCCGGTGCGAGTGCTGAGGAGGCCGGTGGACACGAATCTCGCGCGCGTGGTGCTGGGTAAAGAGGCTGCTCCGGTAGGCGGCTCGAGTCCTTCCCGAACCTCCGGGGCTTGGGCCAGAGATTGGGGCGGAGACGGTCCTAGTGCCGGCGAAGCCAAAGAAATGGGAATCCCTCCGCGGTGTACCCGGGGCGGCTGCCTCGTTTGGAGAACCGACTGTGTCTTCGAGGAAACCGGAAGCTCGTGGTGACCCCTGGCGACCCGGTTTGTTTTCGGTCGGTCTGCGAACATTGGGGAATCGAAACTCGGAGGCCCTACGTAGCTTGTCTCGGGGTGAGTGACTCGCTTGAGCCGGCTTAGAGGCGCGGGCAGTGGCAGGACTAACCGCCGCTGCTCCTGCTGTGCCGGAGACCCGTCATTTTCTCGGACGAACCCGGGCCCCCTCCTTTCACTAGGGAGCGGCCCACTCCCGGCCATTCCGTCCGCCTGCCACCCTCGCACCCTGGCTGTTACAGGCCCATCCTTCACTTCACTTCTCCTTTTCTTCCTGTATTCTGGTTCATGGGGGCGCCTTCGGTTTTATTTCATTCATTGAGTCTGCGTTTATGCCTAAAACGAAAGGGGGGCGCGTGGCTAGGACGGTGCTGCCAGCGGCATCAGAGCAGTGGACATAACCCCCCGTGTTCATTATCGAGGTATAACAGTAGGTATTCGCCGTTTCTCCTGTGTCTAACTTGTGTGTTGTATGGTTTTCTGTCTTTTGACTGCTACTGCGAGGTAGGCTAAGACCCCCTTCCCTCCAACAGGGAACTCGCGTACTCAAAAGTGAGCTAAGATACGAAAACTGCAATACAAATGAAAACACAAATTGCTCCAGGTGTGTTGTGGGAAATAGGCTGATAAAAGACAGTGACGTGGGAGGATGGAAATTGACCCTTGCCTCTTAAACGTACAAGACACTCTCCATGTTTGTAATTTTAAATGGGATTGAGCAAGCTCTCGTGACATAAACAGTTCCAGTTGTCTAAACATGCCATATCTAATTTTCCTAACCTGTTGTGATCACTCACTGCATCATTTGTAAATTAGGAATTGTGCATCCCTCACAGGGTGACTACAAAATGTTAATGTGCTGTTGTTTGTAAGATGGAAACTTGTATACCTATGTAAAGTTTTACCATTAAAGAAACGGTGTAGTGGCATGGGAAATGCACTGGATTGAGTCAGAACATTAACGCAGTATCTGCAGGGTGATTTTTCTACTTTTTCATTTGACACTGTGTACGAGATAAAATCTCTTAATTTCCTCTCTCAAATAGTATTAAGGTTTACTCTTCAAGGTACCTAAGCATAGTTCCTAAGAGTTTGCTAGCTCTGCAGTCAACTGGGTGATTTTCATTCTTAGCTCTCCCATTTTCTAACATTTGCCTATGTCAGAGATATTTATGTAGATTTAATGAATTGTTAAGAATAAATGAAGCCCTGGCTGGTGTAGCTCAGTGGATTGAGTGCTGGCCTTCCAACCAAACAACGGAGGTTGGATTCCCAGTCAGGGCACATGCCTCAGTTGTGGGCCAGTTCCCAGCAGCGGAAGCACGAGAGGCAACCATACATAGATATTTCTCTCCCTCTCTCCTTCCCTTCCCCTCTACCGATATATAAATAAAATCTTAAAAAAATATGAGACAGTTTCTCTTGTAGGCAAAGCATAATGTCTGACATACTTTAAACACTTGGTAAATACTAATTACCAACACAGAACTTTGTCATGATTAATAAAATGATGTTATGAAGTTTTTCACCATCCATGAAGTAACAGCCAAGGTGGAATGTATATTCTTCATTACATTTGTTATATCGCTATTAGAGAATACAGTAATTAATGCTAATGCTAGTAACATTTAGTGTACACAGGTGCTCAGTTACCTTGAGATGTATTACTTCATGAATGAAAAGTAGACTGCTCTTTATAGTATATACTTTATAAACTTGCAAAGTTTATACCCATGTTAACCCCGAAAAAGTCTTATGATTTCCTGGCCATGCACACTGATTTCTGAACTTATGTAGTAAAGTAACTCGTGAGGGTTATGAAAATGAAAATGAAAATAAAGTTTTTCATACTGTGTATGTGATTCTCAGTACATTTTTGGGCATTCACTGAGTTATAGGATGTTCGAGTGCTGAGATACATAGATTGAGGGGCAGTATCTTGAAAAAAGGCACTTGATGATCCCCTCTTTTTGAACTAGTTAGGCCATTCCTGCCCCTAATTATTTTATTAAAAATAGAAAAAGAGGAGTGTTGGTCTATGTGCTTCCATTAAGACTTGATTCCTGCTCCATTGTGTCTTGACTAACCGTATGAAGAGATTCTAGATCTTCAAAAGTAGAAAGATGATAGAAATTCTAAGTAAGACAGTTCAAGAGGCAATGTAGAATAGAAAAAAGAAAGTAACAAACAGGCCTTGATTTAAACTCCGTCTCTCTCCAATACTGCCAGTGTGGTTGTAGGCAAATTTCTGTGACCTCTTTGAGCCTCAGTTTTCTTATCTGTGGTATGATAATACCTTCCTAGCCAAGTTTGGTGTGGATCTGAGGTAATGTGTGTACTGTGTATCTTTGACTCAATTCCTGGCAGAAATGTGAATTCCCTTCCATCTCTTGAGGTTGTCATTCCATATCCAGATGAAATTTTTGCCTTCACAATTTAGGAAGGTGACATCTTAGTGATGTACTTAACTCTCATGTGTTATTGGTGAGAAAATTTAGATCTGGAGAGGTAAATAATCAAGGTATCAGATTGTAAACTAGGATCTGGATTTCTGAATCTCGGGCCAGGGTTCTTTCTACCACTGAGCTTTGCCTTGTCCGGATTATTTGTGGGAAAGTCAGAATCCATGTTATATTGCCTTTCATAATATTTTATTATGAGCATAAATTTGGAAAGCAGCTTATCTGGTTCACATCCCCACTTTGCCACTGATTACTTATGTAGCTGTAATTATTTAATTATTCTCAGTTTGTTTATAAATTAGGAAAATGGTACTTAAGTGGAAAAAAGCATGTAGAAGCACTAGTGCCTGGCATATATGAGCAATGAATGGAAGACAGTATGATGATGAAATATGAGAAGATAATTATGTTTAAAGACCAGGCTGGTATCCAGAGATATTCTATATTTTGTATGTCTCACACCCCAGCATATGTAGCATTTCTCAGCTGAGGGTTCTCTCAGTGTTGACTGCAGTGAAGACTTTATTCTGATTAAATTGTGCCCTTCTTTGCCCATTATTATTGCACTATTGTGATTTATAAGAAATCCATATTTGGTCATTCAGGTAACCAAAGCAATATTTATCACTTTATTTGGAATTCACAGTTCTCTATACCCTTAGAATTTCCTGAATGATAATAGTTATGAGAGCATCTTTTGTCATAATACAAGGGTGGGGAAAAGTAGGTCTGCAGTTTTAATACAAATAAATAATATAATAAGTAAGAATAAACTCTTGCATACTCACAACTATAAACCTACTTTTCTCCACTCCCATATTTGGTCTCATTCTTAATTCCTGGAAATGGGCATCTTGTTACTCATAACAAGCCACTTTCCACCAGCACTAGGTCTGTGTTAATGAGATGACTTTAGGACAACACCTAAGGATGGTGGCTGCTTGCCAGGAGAACCACTCAAGTGGTTAGAGGGTTGGAACTTTCAGTCCACAGACCTCCAAGTAGTGGAGAGGGACTGGAAGTTGAATCAATTGCCAGTGATGTAATCAATATTCCCTATTACGTAATGAAGCCTCTGTGAAAACGCAAACAGGAGGGGGTTTAGAGTTTCCAGGCTGGTTAAGCAGCACACTTCCATGTGTCATTGTGCTCACCCCCCCATCACCCAAACTTCAGGACAGAAGCTCATTTTTTCAGGATCCCACCCTGTGTATCTCTTCATTTAGCTATTGAGTCAAATCCTTTAATTTTTTAAAACAGATAAGCAGTTTTCCTGCTACCATCCAGTGCATCCCATGTCATGTTTATAACTAGAATACATATATAGCATAATGGTATAAAACTTGAAAAAGTTTATATGCAAATAATGTTTTCTTATAGGGAGATACCACCATGTGTAACTTTATGGTGATTCATAAATAAAATAGGCAACAGATGTAAATATATAAAACGGCCTGTATACTAATTTTGTCCTAAAAATGACCAGTTACCATACTGAATAAAGTGTGACATTGTTATAGCAGTATACCTCCTTCCATCTAAGGTACTTAACAGCCTTCCGTAGGGTTCCTAGTTTTTTAGTTCTTGATGAACTTAAGTGTGTGAAAGAGTCATTGGGGAGGGAAAAAAGTATACTAATAGGTTCTGAAACCCAAGGGCTTGTGCTACTTAATTATTGGGCTGGCCAGAAATTTCTTCAGTATTTTCTATAAAGAGACACATTTTTCATTTTCACCAATAACTATTGATTTGGATATTTTGAGTATGTCAACTGTCTCCTGCGTAATATAAAGTTAATTGTTTTCAATGACTTGATTTGATTGTTATCAACTGCAGTTGGCCTACCTGATTATGGAGCATGGTCTCTGAAGAAATCTCCAGCACGAAACTTCGCACACCACTTTTGATACACTTCATCAGTCACAGTGCCTTCTCCGTGCCCTACAAAATCTTTTTTTGCACTTCAGTTGGATTTTTACTTTTCTTGAAATAATAAAGTGTGTTGTCTTCCATCTTCAGTATTAAAATGGCTACACAAAAATTCACCACTTTTGATAAGTTTTTTTTAATGAACGCTGCTATGACAGCTGTCACAATACAATAGAACAAAATAGTTTCCACTGAAGTTGAAGACATCTAAGCACTACCAGAGCCATCTTATGGAAAAAAACAAATGAACTTTTTGGCAACCCAATAATTACCTTGTTTGGGTTAAGGTTCATAACCTTTACAGGTTTCAGTTTTCTTATCTCTGAAATAAGTGTAATAATATTTTCTACCTCATAGGGTCATGATGAAAATTAACTGGGATATTTGTAAAATGCTTAGCACAATACTAATTCATATGGTTTTGAATATATTTTACAAATGTTACTGTATTTTTAGGACTATAAGAAGCAGTGGATCATAAGATGCACCTAAGTTTTAGAGGAAAATAGGAAAAAAATTTTAGAAGCAAAATATGTGATAAAATATTTAATAACATAAATAATATAGGCCACCACCCCCCACCCATAGTGAGTCAGGTAAGCTGCATTCCGACTATAAGACAAACCACCCTTTCCTCCCAGATGGGGGGGGGGGGGGGCGTCTTATAGTCCAAAAATATGGTGTATAAGTATTCTTCACCCTTTTATGTGTCATGTACAGATCTGTCTTAAATTCCACAGAGTAAGAACCAAATTCTGTAGTCATCTCTATATCAAAAAAGAACCATCTCAGAGCCGGCCAGATGGGTCAGTTGATTGGAGCATCCTCTCATATAGCAAAGGGTTGTGGGTTCAATGCCCGGTCAGGACACCTACAGGAGACAACCAATGTCTCTCTCTGTCTCTTGCTCTCCCTCTTTCCCCCTACTTCCCTTGCTTCCTCTCTCTGAAATCAATTGTGTGTGTGTGTGTGTGTGTGTGTGTGTGTGTGTGTGTGTGTGTGTGTGTCTATATCTCCCTTAAAGTGAGGACTTAAAAAAAAAAGCATTTCAGTTAGTCTCCATTCTGTTTTTCTAGTTGTATCTTTTGGTGCTATTTCTTTTTTCATCCTTTCTCCCCACACTCTTTCACACCTTTGAACTTGTCCCCCCTGTTGTAAGATTACAGAGTTAATTTAGAGTCATTTGATCTCTTGTGGTATCTTCTTTGAAAACCACTCTTCTTCTCCATCCCTCTGCCCCCATAGCATTCTGTATTGTTTCAAATAGTACTCACCTTAAAGTGCGTGAACTGTTGGACATCTTTGTAGAGAGCAATTAATGCTTATTTCTTGTTTCTCAGCTGTCTTTTAAAAAATTATTCCAGTTGAATAAATCCTGCCCATTAATATATTATAAATCAAATGTCTAAGACGGGCACAATTTTACTTCTCCCTAGACTAGACTACGTCCTACACTTAATTGTTTACTCTTCTTTTACTTGTTTTTTTTTTTTAAGATTTTATTTATTTATCTTTAGAGGGGAAGGGAAGGAGACAGGGAGAGAAATATCAATGTTGCCTCCCATGTGTCCCCTGCTGGGAACTGGCCTGCAACCCAGGCATGTGCCCGGACTAGGAGTCCAACCGTGATCCTTTGGTTCACACAGGCCCCCGTTCAGTCCACTGAGTTACGCCAGCCAGGGCTTGCTCTGCTTTTAAGACATTATGCATTTGTGAAAGAATCTTATGTGGAGATACGTATATATGCTTGCAGTTTGCAATATGGGAATAACCCATACTTTCCTTTGGAAAGGAAATAAGAGGATTTCAGCCAGGAGCAACATGATTGAAATGATGTTTGCTGTTATTTTGGTATAGCATTGGTCCCAGAGAGAAAACCTTAAGCCTCTTTAGAGGAAAAAACTTAAACTCTTTTTCCATCATTAGGATAAAGTGCAACTTGCACCAGAAGCAGTGTGAGTTAATTCTGGTTATGAGATCTGCCACTCTTGGGGGATATCGTAGGTAGCCTAGTTTTTTTCTTGCTTTCAGATTTCAATGATATACTGGGAAAAACTCCATAGTTTAAAAGCAGGAGTTAGTGAAGATTGATTGAATGGCAAATTTCACCTACTTAGACTTGTAGTATACACATTTACTTTTGCCTACTTTCCCACAATCCATTTAGGAAACAAATTGCTAGACACTTCGATCTCTGACCTTAACTGAAAGCAGTTGAAAGCTTTTAGTTATAAAATCAGAAAACCAAAATCCACAGTTATCGAAAGCCAGACCCCACTTTTCCCCCAAAAAAACACATTTAAAAAAGCCTTTCCTTAGTATTTATGTGGTCTGAAATAAAGCAAAACAAACTTTACAGGCATTGATTGATACAGGGAAGGAGATCAGCAATTTTAGAGAAAAGCAAGCATAGTAAAACATAGATTCTGGACCTGTGTTTACACCTTGACTCTACATTTACTATGTGAATATAGGAAATTACTTAATTTCCTTCCGCATCAGTTTCCTCATCTATAATACTTTTTAGAACAGTGACTGACACTAGTAAGCAATCGAATGTTATTTCAAGCAAGGGATGGCAATAAAAACATTTTTCAGGAATCATCAATACAATGCTCTATTAGGTGTTTTATTTTGAAAGATTGTTTAGGTTCTCTTACGGCCTGCTATATCGCTCTTACCCTGTCTTCCCCATGAGGTCTTAGAAGGTTTCAGCCACTATTTCACCTTCAGGAACATAACTCGGAACTCTCATTGGGGAAGTAATGCTGAACCTAACAACAAAAGTAGATGTACAAAGCGAATATATTGTTCACTGACTGATGAAGTAACTGGTTTCTCTTAGGTTTTAGACTCAGAGTTTCTTTTTCAGTCCTATACTATCCATTCTTCACTCAGTAATCAGTATTTGCCCTAGCTGGTGTAGCTCGTTTGGAGCGTTGTCCCATAAACCAAAGGGCCATGTGTTCGATTCCTGGTCAGGGCACATGCCTGGGTTGCAAGTTTGGTTGCAGGTTGCCCGTAGGGGCATATACAATAGGCAGCTGATTGATGTTTCTCTCCCTCCCACTGTCTCTAAAATCAATGGGCCTGTCCTTGAGTGAGGATAAAAAGAAATTAAACTGCTTAAATAATAATAATATTGAGCATCTTAATCACAATGATGAGTTGTGAACATAGTGATGAGCAAGAACAAACCTAAACCCAGCCCTCACAGAGCTACGGTTCTACTAGCTTTATTTTGGGCAAATTACTTTACTCTCCCAATCCCAACCAAATGTAGATGATACCTACTTCATAGAATTGTATAGGTGAATTTAAATAAGGTAGTATTAAAAGAATGTAAAACATGGTATGGGGCATAGTGGACACTCAGATGCTAATTCCTTTGTCTTCTATTGTGAATGTATAACAAATATAATCCGTTACTGGTATGGAAAGAATATTGTAGAGTATACATTAAAACATCTATAATAATGTAATGAACTATACTCAAAGAATTCTTAAAAATTTATCATTTGGGAAGCTATAAAACTTGCTACTTATATCTAACTAAGTGAAAATGATGAAGAAGAAATACATGACTATAAAGAATTTAAAATCTTTTGTCTTTGATTGAAAATGGTGTTGAAATGGTGTTTCATAACTTTGTAAAATGTACTAGTAGCTTAGATTATGGTTTTATATGCTTTATATATATCAACTCATTTAATAATCTTAAAAGCTCTGTGGAATAGTTGCTGTTATGTCTCGCACTTTATAAACAAGGGAACTGAATCAGAGCGGTTAAGCAGCGTGTCCAATGGCATGCAGACCAGACACTGCAGCAGGAGAGCTTGGATTTGGGGCCCGTCTTCAGGCTTGTGGTTTCAGAGCCCGGGCCCTTAACTCAGTACATATACTGCCTCTAAAAGAAGCAGGAATTTTTAAACATTGCCTTAGTGTTCACGGGATTCTAAATGTTTCTTCTTTGTTTATTTGTTCAATGAGACATTCGTATTTTTTTTCTTTTAAATAGTGGTCATGGATACACTGGTAGAAGATGATATCTGCATTCTGAATCATGAAAAAGCCCACAGGAGAGATACAGTGACTCCAGTCTCAATATATTCAGGAGATGAGTCAGTCGCTTCACATTTTGCCCTTGTCACTGCATATGAAGACATCAAAAAACGACTCAAGGATTCAGAGAAAGAGAACTCTTTCTTAAAGAAAAGAGTAAGATTTTTGGAAGAAAAGGTAAGCATTATCTTCATTATATATTATGACTGAAATTTTAAATATTCTTCTGTCCTGTCTTCCGTGATTACACCACATTTCCAAGAAGAACTCACTTTAATCTGAAACCCTAGGCATTGTCCCCATCAGACTGTGTTTCACATGTCATGGGGCCGTATTTGTGGAATAGGATTTAGCAACTTGGGACTATGCACCAAACATTTTTCTAACTATTTTTCATATTGACTTACCTTTATAACTGTAAGTTTTTTATTCAGCATTTTAAAATCTGAAAAAAAATATGGCTAATAAGGAAATTAAGCATCAAAGGTGGAAGCTCCTGGAACACCGTTCTGTTATTTTTTTATAATGTTTTCACCAGGACTTTCTTCAACATTCTCTTTTGCTTTTTGAACATAGGTAACATGAATAATGACTTTTAAGTAATAAATTTCTTCTCATTACCTTTTTCATAAAGAAGCACAACACTTTTAAATGTAGAATATACAAGCAAGGTAGTTGATTCTCTGTAAGTCATCAGGTCTATTTGGCTTTGTGTATTGGGAAATCTTCCTCACTCATCCATTTATTTTGAGTTTTAAAATTTTCACTTAGTTTGTTTAATCAGAAAGAACAGTATATTCATATTTTATAAATAGCAGCTTCAACAGAGGGCGAAGAAAATGGATTCCATTGCAGCCAAAGAAATGAATTACCCTTTTGTGAAAACTCAAGGATGGACCTTCATAGAGTTTACTTCATTTGGGGGGGAGTAAGAGAAGAGGTGTCCATTGTAAAAATAATCATATTTTCTTTGTATTCATATGAATTTACTTTAAAGGTGATTAAATGAATTTGTGACATACTGGGATAAGTGAGAAAAGGTAACATTTTAGAACTCATAGTTGTGTGATTTTAAAGTTCAGAAGAATATTGTGAGTTAACATTGGAAACTCTGTACTTTCTGACTAACAGTACTATTAATTTCTGTTCTAGAATAATATAGGACTTAATGAACTAACCCATCTATCCCTTAAGAAGTCAAGAACACCTTAACTTGATACTTTTTGTGATAGTGGAAATTAAATATTACTGGCTTGGAAAACACCTAAGAACTATAAAAGAGTGATAACTGTGTTTTAGTATGATAAATTAGTATGTTATAAAACAGATACTGCAAAGGATAAAATAATAAGTAAAAGCATAAAAGACTACTTTTAAAAATATTCTGTACATTTTTGCTTTCTTAATCAGCAAAGCTTGATTGTGTGGAAGTGGAATGTTCAGTTAATTATAGTCCAGGCTTTATCCCTGCATTACAGTGATTAAAGATGTGAAGCCATCAGAAGACTAATTATTTTATGTAGAATACCCTCTGAAGCTTTCTCTTCTGATTTTACACCATTAGCTTATAGGAGCTCGATTAGATGAAGAAACAAGTTCAGTGGGACGAGAACAAGTAAATAAGGCCTATCATGCATATCGAGAGGTTTGCATTGATAGAGATAATTTAAAGAGCAAATTGGATAAAATGGTAAGTTGGTTTGAAATGAATGATATCTATATATTGAAATGAGTTTTCTCATTCAAGAGGTTAAAGTTAGAAATAAAAGAAATACATTGATTCAATTAAAAATTGAAAATATACAGGCTCAAGGCAAAAAGAAAATTTTAACAATATTTGCAACTTATTTGTATAATGATGTTTAGGACTTAAATACATCTAACACCACTAACTTATATTGAAAAAATATGACCTGGTAGAATTTATTAGTGGTTAAACAAATTTTAAAAATGCCAGTGAATAATGTCCTACGTTAGAAAAAGGAAAAAAAAGGAGATTAGTGAAAAACTGAGTTCATTTTCCCACTTTTCTTTAAAAAACTAGAATTGGTTTTTAAACATCTACCTGAAAATTAATATATAATACCAACCTATAGATTTTATTGAATGTAATTTGGCATTTTCCCTTCTTAACTAGAACAAAGACAACTCTGAATCTTTGAAAGTGTTGAATGAACAACTTCAGTCTAAAGAAGTAGAACTCCTCCAGCTAAGGACAGAGGTGGAAACTCAGCAGGGTATGCTACTTACTTGTTATTAATATACTAATAGGATGAACATATTTTTCCCTTTCTATGATATATCCATGATCAGTGTTCTGTATCTGTATATTGAGGCTTTAACTTATTTTTTAATATTTAGGCTTACATTAATTTCTGTGAAGTGTCAGCTCCTTTTAATTTTTCCAAGATATAAATTGCACTATTCCCAGAAAGTAAAGTGGTTTTTATTCAGGGCTAGTTTGTGATGAAGTAAATGAAGAAATGAGTAGAAGCCTGTCCTTGTCTAAACCTCTTGCCCACTGATAAGCCCTGGCTTTTCCTTCCCACTGATATTTTTTCCCCATTGTTAGACACACTGTCAGAGTAGTTACAATAACCTTTTTAATGTCTGAAGGTTATTAAAATGTGCAGATGAGTTGCTGGGGTGAAAAGTTAGGTCTTTGGGATATGAATATTGGCCTATTCACATGAACATTCTGATGAAACAAGCAAAGAAGTAGGCCTAAGAGACCTTTCAATAGCAGATAGAGATGAGATCTCTTGTAGCTGATTGCAGCTTTTTCTAGGTAGACTTAGGAACTAAACCAAGGTAAGTCAGTATCTAGTTATATTAGGGTCTGCTGCAGAAGACTTATAAATAAAATTGTTTTGACATTAATGTTCTAGGTTTAAGTGTAAAACTTTATACTCTGACAGGACCAATTGGAGTGGTTAACTGAGGTTACTCACTTTAACATCACAGCTACAACCTTGACGTATATAAAGATTATTAGTCTGTCTATAATTTGAGCTTAGTGTTATATATTTTGAAGTTCCAGACTGACATACTTGCACTTTAACCTAGACAGAAAATCAGGGATGGGGTGAATAATACATTCTAAAACAAGATTGCTAGATTTTTAAAAATCTCATTAGCATCGATTTTTAAAAATAATTACTGTTTTTTAAAAAGTTAACAATTTTGCATTAGTTTTTCTGTCATCTGTATTTTACTAGCAGAGCCTTTTTAGAATTGCAAGTAATGTAGAAGGCAGAAATTAAAAATTTAATGTCTGGTTTTTTTCCTAGTGATAAGGAATTTAAATCCCCCTTCATCAAACTGGGAGGTGGAAAAGTTGAGCTGCGACCTGAAGATCCATGGTTTGGAACAAGAACTAGAACTGATGAGAGAAGAATGTAACAATCTCAAAATAGAGCTACAAAAAGCCAAACAAACGGTACTGCAGAATTACTAAATTAAGAAATTCAGAATTCTGTGTGCATTGTATGAATGGCTTTTAAGTAGGTATTAAATCAGCTAACAAATTATAACTACTTATTGTTACATTCTCTGATAAACTCACCCCTGTGTTTCCGATTTTTGCTAAAATTTCATATACTGTATACATTTAGAATAATCTTGGAATTCTATAATTTTGTTGTAAAAACTAACTTTTTAAAAGCTTTTTATTAATTTATTAAAGCTATTTCAAACTCCCTTTCCTTCAATTTCCTTAAGTCATTTGTTTTTATATAAGGTTTAAAGAGAACTTGGGTTTTAAATTTCTTATTTTCCTTAATAATTTGATTAATTTAGACACCACAAGAAACAATTTTTAGCATTCTTAAAAAAGAGTTTAAAGAGTCCATTATATTCAGAAGTCTAATATTTGGGGGGGGGCAAGTTTAATTTTTAAGGAATAGCTGACAATTCAAGAATTGGGTTGCAGGGGGTGGTTGGGGACAAAAATGAAAAAACCGTGATGAGCTGCTTAAGTGTGGTTAGCTTAAAGTCATTACTGAAATACAAGTTGCCTGTCTGTCCTCACCAAGCATCCATTTACTTGTATTTTACACTGGGTTCTAACAAGCTTGGATATATGTATGTTTTCAGATGTCATGACAGATAGTGCCAAGGATAAAAAAAAAAGAAGTGATAAGAGAAGCAAGGAAGTGTGAGAGCAAAGCACCAAGTACAAAGTTTAAAATGGTTATTACAAGAAACTTAAAAGCTTAGTAGTCTAGAATCAGATAGCCATTATATACATTATATACAGTCATGTATGTTAAACTAAGGTAACTGGTTAAATAATTATTTCTCAGCCCAACCACTTTGCCCATCACAGCATTCCAGCACCATTGAGAAGCTGTGTCACCTACCCCAGATTCCTCTGGAATGCCACAAACTGAAAGAGAAACTACTTCCAGCACTTATGATGGCCAGCCAGGACTCTGTCGCTGAATTCCAACTGCCCTTATTACATGGAGCTGCTAGTCCTTTCAACTCTAGTGCAGCTTTTATCGAAGGGGACCACTGGTTAAGAATGAGCCAGGCATTAAGAGTAATACAGTACCCTACCTTGTCCTTGACCAGATGGATTCCTCTGAAATGTATGAAGAAGTGGTTTTGGAGCCCCCAACCTTGATGAATGGGAAACACTACAAAAATTACAGTCAACTCCTTTTAGAGTCAAATGTTTTTTGTGATTTTTTCCCCCTGTTTGACACCTCAAGTTGATTTTCTCAGCTCTGAGCCTATGACTATGTACCACAATTCCTTCAAATGCTTCAGCATCCTTTCCCACAAGCCCAGCTGTTCCAGTAGTTCTGTGAGCCTTCTCTTAAAAAGATGTGCTTGCAAGTAAAGGTCTGCACCTTGAAGCTCTGAATTATAATTGTCAGTATATATATATTCTACTTGAAATAATTTGACAGCTTTTATACATAATGGGTATTTCCATATAGAGCAGGAAGCAGTACCATGGAATCATAAAAACTTCTCATAATTGTGGTACTACTTATTAACTACATAACATCAGGAGAGTTAACTGTTCTGAACTTGTTTTCTATAAGCATTAAATATCTATTTTTTCATGAAGATTAAATTAGATAATATATGAAGCAGCACAGAACCTACTACATTCAATAAGTGAATTAAAAAAAAACAGGGTAATTCAGAATAGTGTCTTTTGGGATATATATGTGTGTGTGCATGTGTGTGTATATATATCTGAGTTATAGTTCAGCTCTATTAATTCTTTTCCACTAGATGGTGCTAGGGGATAAATTTGCTTTTAGTTTAATTCATCTGTCATAAATCTCAGAAACAGACCTGAAGGTAGAAGAAAGTTTAGAAATCACTTCAGTCTTTCTGTTGATGAAATTGAGTCCAAGAGACTAAGAAACTTGAAGAGTAAATGGTGAAATGGGAATATTAAAAAAAAAGGGTCCTCACCTTCATAGAAATTTATGTGGCGGGGGGAAGTGAGATTTAAAGTTTAAAATGCTCACAACTAATATAAGAAAATGAACCAGGAAAAGAAAGAGTGGAAATGCTTAATTCATCAAGGGTTCCAGGTTTAAATCTTACCTTGACATTGTGGGATGTCTACTTTTAATTCGTGTTTCAAAAGTGTTGCCAGTCAGAGTCAGCAGTAGAATCAAAAAACAAATCAAAGCTAGAGAAATTCCTGTTCACATTAATAATTTTTCTTATGTCTGCTGTCGACTCATATACAAATACTTTTAAGACAGTACTTTCTGTGAAATATAGAGTGCCATCTGAAATGTGGTAACAGCATCTTACAGGACCTAATAGTGGTTTTTGGTTGGTTGGTTCTTTTAAGTATTTAGTAAGCTCATTTGATTAGTTTGGGTGTTAATGAGGTAAAGGTTCGAGGGTCAGTTCCACTGTGGGCCTTTTAGACTTTCCTGTATACCCAGTATTCCAGCCCTTGGTGCAGTTGATGCTTTGAGGAAAACAGATGGCACTGCCTAGGGAGTGTAGGAAACACTGGGTCAGTAAAATGGAGTTGGTGTAGATGTGCATGGTTCCTAATAACAGCCCATTCACAATGTCCCGTGGTGTCCTGAAGGTTCTGAGAAATCCTCTAGTATAGGAGCCTGTTTACCTTGAGCAATATTTACCAAGATTTTGTAGCCGTCGGCCCATTTATGGGAAACTCCCACATAATATGGCACTGGTTGAGAAACAGATCCATTACTGCCTTTTTAAAACATGGCAAACTGATGACTGGCCAGGAACCAGGTTTTTGAATATTAGAGACAATTCCTTGGTGCTTAATGCTAGTTTACATTAGATTAACTGAACTATTTGGCAGTAGCTGGAAAAACACTTTTCAATCCCAAATGTCAGATTTTTAAAAACTTGGTCTTTAAAAATGAAGGTTTCCATACTACATATGTATATAAGTATACACGAATTTAAATGTATATATTTTTATCAGTGATACAAAGAAGCTAAAAGAGGCTTGATCTGATTTCTTTATCTCCTATGAAGAACAGGAAAGGAAAATGTCCAAGGTCATGTGCTTTGGACCTTGTCTGATCTTAGGCCAGTTCTGTTTCTCTTCTCCCCAAGATACACTTAAATGTTAGTGTTTTTTGTTGGTATTTTCTGAATAATCAAATTCAAAAATGCTCTAACTCCTGTAATAGAAAGAATTTTAAAATTTTCCTCTCCAAAGTTCATAATACTCTTAAAGTCCTTACACAGCCTGTTAAGGTTCCACTTTAAAACATTTAGATTATGTAAATAAGAAACTAATTAAATGTCAGTATTTTAAATTTTGTTCTCAGTTTATTCTGGTCACTTCTGCCAGTTGAATTACCCATGATAGTGATTTTATTTGTTATAGATCCTTAAGTGAGAATGCATTGCGAACCAGTATGTTATAGGGTTGTCTTAAATATATTAAGTCTACTTTTTAATGTCTTTTATAGGTTTCTTTCTGTCATAGCTATAACCTACACCACTAAAAGTTAAAATACATAAAGATTTTATAAACTTTTCTGTATGGAAAGGAAGTTTATGCTGATCTTAAAAAGTAACCTATTATATTTTGGTAGTTTTTAAAAATACCAATAAAAATGAAATAGCAATAAAACTTCCCTTTTTTCATGGAATTCATTCAGATGTACCTTGAGTAAATATTAATTTTATTCTTTGTTACCCTTTTTAGAATATAGGCTATAGATTAATATATTCAGAAATATATTTTGTAAGATTCTAAGTTCTTTTACATGAGAGTAATTCCACTTTTTTTAATTAAAATGTGAATGACTTTAATTGTACTTGAGTTTGAGATATCTTGTACAGGTTTGGAGGTATTTCATTAAAATTGAATATCTATGTGTATATATGCTATACAGTTATAGATGTATTCTACCCATCTGAAACATGTCTCTGGTAATACAAAGTGTACCGAGAGTAAGTGGACTGTAACAACTTTCAAACTTTTTTTAAAATGACAGGATCCATCTCAAGAAGACAATCTGCAGAGCAGAGATCTGCAAAGACTAAGCATTTCAAGGTATGAACATTTTCCATCATTCAAAGGTAATGCATTCTTCTTCCATAGGCCACTTTGTATAGGTACTTAGATTTGTTATGATTTAACCTTAAAAGCAAAGGGGTATTACTTGAGTACTGCATATAATCTCTGACCACAAGATATAAAAATATTTAATTGTTAGTTAACAATAGACTTGAACTTCAGTAGTAGAAAGGTGCATAATGTGATGCCTTAAACATTTTTAAGAATTCACATCAAGAATTTTAAAATATTCAGTAATATTTTAGATAGGATATTACGGAGCTAGAGCTTTGTAGAAGTATTTTGTAATAAATCCTAATTTTGTACATGAAGAATTATGCATTTCCACATACAGCAATGACATTTTGTCTTACGGGTAAACTTAAACAGCCTTAATCTTTGGTATAATATGAATTTTAAGAGAATTATCCTCCTGGGGTAAGGACAAGAGTAGCTATCAGAGTTTGTATGTATTACTTCAAACATTTTCTCAAATATAGATCATTTTTACTTAAGTAACTTAAATATGGTCATTTAAATTACCTGATCATTTTTAGTTTTGCTCTGTTAGCATCCCCTCTCTGCATGGATAGTTCCATCCAGTATAAAATTCTGATTTGACTTCCAAAGTTTACTGACCTAAAGTGAATAATGTGAATTCCTATCAAAAGGATCCATTACGGAAACACCGTACAGCCACTCCTTTCGATCCAGAAATAGGCAGACTTTCAATAGGGACAAGCAGTAAATATTTTAGGCTTTTGTGGAACATACAGTCTCTGCTGCAAATAAATGCCATTTTAACAGTACTTTGATTTTGCTTTCGACTTCTAAATATACAGCAAAAATGTTTTGTCCTTTTATTTTCAACATTGTGTCTAGTACAGTGTCTATTTAAATTACTTCTGAAAGTTGTCTTCTTTGTCACTTTATCTGGCTCATTAGTACTTAAGAATACTTGTGTTCAATAGCATATGACTAAAATAACTATATAAATACCTCAATTAAAAAATATGTGATTGCTAAAAGATGCTAACCATCATCTGAGACTTCAGCAAGTTTTGTTTTGTTTTTTGCTGGTGGAGGGTCTTACTCCAGTTTGTGAAAAACGCAGTATCTGTCAGGCACAATAAAGCAAAGCACAGTAAAATGAGGTATGCCTGTAGTACATGCCAGGGTGTAATACACATAATAGGGGGATAAGTATAGTTTCTCATAGCTTGTTTTCATTGGGTTGCAGTGTAAAGTGACTGCTTGCTGTGTCTTAGAGCCAAAAATGTGTGAAATACTCTCTTTAGGGGAATAACAGTTGACAAAATATACATTTCCAAATCTCTAGCTCTTGGCTAAGGCTATGCCATATTTTCATTTTAGTTCCCCTGGGGATATAATAACTGAGTAAATTTTCAGAAGCTAATGAAAAATATGTATGGCTGAAATAAAAGCTTAGTTAAGTATATTTTTCTTATTCAAGGAATATTTATTTCAATGTTAAAGAGTTAAATGCATAGTGTCAAATAAAAAAACTGGGCTTGCTTTTAGCTGGTGTAGCTCAGTGGGCCTGCAAAGCAAAGGGTTGCCGTTTTGATTCCTAGTCAGGGCATATGCCTGGGTTTTACCAGGGCTATGAATGTGGCCCAACACAGAATCGTAAATTTATTTAAAAAAATTTTTTTTGCTTATCAGTTTTTGTTAATGTTTGTGTATTTAATGCATGGCCCAGAGACACCAAAAGGTTGGATACTACACAGAATTAAAAATAAATTTTCAGCATACCTTCAGGACTATATAGCACTTAATATTAGTTGTAAAGTAACTGCCATTACTTTGCTATCCACAAGAGGGAGAACTTGTACTTAATAACAATTTTAATTTTTACATCTATAGTTTTCAGGTAACATTAAGGGCAAAAGAAAAAGACTAGATATATGTTGAGTCAATATAGTTGTTAGTTTAACCTAATTTATAAGCAGTCTTCATTTTTTTGAATTGCAAAATCTATATTAGACATTGCTTCTAATAACTGTAATCTCTTACTTTACATGCTTACTATTTTGAATGATGAAATATGTTTGATATTCTGATATCTAAACACTTGTATATTTGCTTTTCTTTTCTCCAAGTCAGGTACTGATTTACCATCTCATGCCAATAAAACTATTTGCATGCAGTATTATTCGTATCATGACTGCATGAATTATTAGCACGAGTGCAGTGTTTACACTCACTGCCGTGTTATACGAGTAACTCTGGAAAGCACACCAAATGCCCAAATTGCACCAAGGAACCAACGGCTCTCTTCACACTTCAGACAGGTTCCTATGTGAAACGTGCATTGTAGCACCCATCTCAGATGTTTACAGATGAAATGGAGGGGGTTAACTAACTTTTGTGAAGTAATTATTTCACACGTATCAAAAATCTGCAAAAAGCCTTGTGAGTTTTAGTAGATTACTGGTTAATAAGTAATGTTCACAATAGACGAAAACCTGTAGATTTTTTTCAGAGACAGTATAAAGTTTATTCTGTTACTTCTATTGAAATCACTGTTGTCTGAGTGCATTTGAGGTCTTTTAAGAAAAATGTATGTAAGCTTACATCATTCAAAATAATTCTCTTTTTCAATATATCTGTTGTTTCTGTAATTAAAATAGGATATTAGATTTACTATCGAAAGTATTAGTCCTTAAAGTTTTTTTAAAAGGTTTATATATAGCTCAATAGAAATTAAAGCATGAAGTGTCTTGTCTGTCAATTTTGATTTCATCATTACTAAAATTACACTGATATCTTTACTAGGCAATACTGCTTGTTTGAACACTGTTGTACTGGTTGTTCTTACATCTGATATTCTATGTATTATAGTACAGCAAAGTAAGAATATATATTGGAAGACTTTGACTTACCTAGTTAGCAATTAACCTAAAAAGGAAGAAAATTACAAAATATCCAAATAATGTTTAATGGAAGATGAAACTTATTTAAGAATTACATTTAAAGTAACTAACATTTCTCATATAAATGAAATAATACTTTTAATCATAAAAATGAGAGGAATTTATGACATTTTCATTTCTGTTTCATATAATCTTTTCTCTAGATTCCTTTCCTTTACCAGGAAATCATCTGGTTCGTCATCTCTTGTGCTGTCATGTCACATTGGTTTAGAACCAACAATATGAGACAGCCCAGTCAGACATAAAAGAATGGAATACATGAAACCTAAATTTTATTTTAATGGGGTTTGGGTATACATTCAGCAATTGATACAGCGTCTCTGTTCACAACGTCAAAACAGAATAGTCATAAGTACAAATTTAAGACCCATATATGAATATAACATTAGTCTTGATCAGAGGTGCAAATGAAGAACATACTCCTTACTATTAAATGTATTAACACCATTATATTTTAGTCTATAATAAAATTTCAATTCTGAAATGAGAACCATAGAAACTCTCATTGGTTAGAATACTTTTTATGATAGCCTTCTGTTTAATATAGTTCATTTAGTTGCTATAAATTATGGCAGTTATTATGAATAAGGTCTTTTTAATTGTTATAATGCCCTAATTAAATATATTTCAAGTATTTAATGTTTTACTTTACATAATTTCAAAACTAATTTGAGCAAAAATACAGACATGGTCATTTCTATTTTAAAGTTATTCTCTTCATTAAGAGAATAATAACCATTGACTCTTTTTTTTAAACCTTATATATCAGTGATAACATGCAAAATGCATACTGGGAACTGAAGAGAGAAATGTCTAATCTACATCTGGTGACTCAAGTACAAGCTGAACTACTAAGAAAACTGAAAACCCCAACTGCAATCAAGAAAGGCAAGTCAGTGTTTGCTGGAAACCACGGATTCCAGCCAAACTGCTTGAAGAGCAACTAGCTGTCCTATCTTATCAAAATCTCATCAAATGAGTTTGATAAAGCAAAGTATATGTAGTGTGTTCACAGCCTACCCATTCTCTGCTTTGGCTTCAGTCTCATGCTGGTCAACTTCACACATAAAGGTGTTGCTGATGTGTTTTTTCTTCAGTACTGTATTCTTTTCCCCTTGTGGCTTTTTTTTCTCAGCCAAGTGTTGCTTATGTGTATAAGGCTGAGGTGTTAAGTTTGCTCTAGTTGACCTTTTACCACAACTACTTCATATACTTAAAAAAAAGAAAAGACACCCAAAACTATTTTTCATTACAGAATACACCAAAGACCTAGCTCGAAATTGTTTTGAAAAAGTAACTGATTCATTATTTGGTTATTTCCTTTTTTTGTGAAGTTAATTTTTCTGTCCATAAAGGATAGATTATTTAGAAGAGGGACTAGGTACTTCTCCCTCTTAGCCAAACAGAAATTTTCATTGCTTTGCCTTTCATATTTAACCGCTTGGCTGACAAAACATTTTGCATTTTGTGTTAACTAGTGCTGGTTACTTTGTCAAAGCTAATTTTATACCTCAGAGAAAAATCAGTGCATTTATACCTTTTATTTCATAATAGTTGTATTTCTGAAAAGTTGTGTAATTTTTAAGTGCCCCCAAACCTACTTTTTAAAGTAGTAAGATGTGATTTTTTATAAAAAATAATCACCAGTTTAAAACTGTTTATTTGTATCTCAGATTGTCCCTAAAGAGTGCAAAAAAGAATTGTACTTACAGTTCTCAGTAGTATACATTAGTGGAGGGAAATTTTGCACATTAGGAAGGAAAGTTAAATTCAGAATTCCTTTCATTTTTCTACAGTTAGTCGTTATGAAGCAGACAAAATAACATGGTGCTTTGGCAGCCATTGACTTAATTTCTGATTCATTTTTTCCTTGAGTTTTACAGTGGCCAGGGTTACATATAAGGTAATACCAGTTGATGGTAGAAATAAGATTGCCCTTGAAAGGGACTCATACAGTAATTTTGCAGTGAGTATTCTGTGTGGCTCTTCATTTATATAAAATAACTGCCAAATAATAATATAGAGCAAATGCTCTTTCCATATTTAGAAATGGTTCATTCCCATGTCCTTTCTGTGCTGATGAATGATACATATTTAGACCTTTGGAGCATAAGTTTTCTAAAACATTTCCTACGACAGTGTCAGGTTCAAGTCCACCCCTCCTCACTCAGCACTCAATGCTTTGAGAAGCAGTCAGCAACAAGTCTAGATCACCTTTTCCCCTGACCTACAATATCACCCTGCCCTACAATAAAGCTAAACAATGGTATTTCCAATTCTCCCAAACGCTTGTCTCTCCTGAGCTTATTTTACAATGTGGTTCAGTCGCTTTCTTCTAAAACTACAGAGTCAAGCTGCAGTTGGAATTGCTATCCTTTTTGAACTTGGGATAAATTTGTCTTTTCTACCCTTGCTGAATTGAAGGAGGAAAAGCTCAAACTACCAGCTTGTTGGCAGTGGCTAAACAATGGCTTTAGAACAGTCTGTTTTCTAAGCCATTACATGTGTACTGAAGACATTTTTTGTGTGTTATTTTCTTTTTTACTTGATCTATATTGTGGCCATGGCCGAATGTACATTTACCATTATATGTGTTTCATAAGACATAGGATTATTTTGTAGCTTTTATTTAAACTGTTTTCTTCATAAAGGCCTGAATAAATATTATTTGTATCTCACCAATTCACAATATAATTCTTTCTGAAAAAAATTTACTTTTGGATCACCTATGGAAAAATATTTGAATAAGTAAAGGAATATGATATTTAACAAAAAACATTACTAAAACTTAGGAACAGCTTTCTTAGTCTAATCCACTGAAGTAAATAGCCTGGAAGCCACCTCTAGCCACACCCTTAAGAGCCAAGAACATGATCTTTTCTTGTATTGGGTTGGCCAAAAGTTTGTTTGTTTTTTTCTGTACAATGGTTCTAGCAGTGTTTAGTTGTCTTTAACTTCATTCAACACAATTTTGTTAGACTATATTGTGACAGCAATCATATCGGTGTGCATTTAAAAAAAGAAACTCAAAATTGGTGAATTTTTGTACATCCATTTTAATACTGAAGATGGAAGAAAATAGGCAACTTTTTATCTCAAGAAAAGTAAAAACAACTGAAAGGAAAAAAAAAAGACTTGTATAGTGTATAGAGAAGGTGCTGTGATTGATCAAAACATTTCAAAAGTGGTTTGCAAAGTTTCTTGGTACTATTGACGTTTTGGCCAAATCTTTGCTGTGGGCCTGTCTTGTGCATTGGAAGATGTTTAGCAGCACCCCTGGCTTCTACCCACTAGAAGCCAATAGCAGGAGATAGGTGACATACTCAAAATATCCAGATCAATAAAGTTATTGGTGAAAATGAAAAAATGTGTTTTCTATTTTATGGAAAAAACTAAATAGACTTTTTGGTCAACCTAGTATTTTAACTTGATTAGTTTCTAACTTTTTAAAAATTTTAAATTCTTCATTTTATAACTCAGCGATACAGATGGACAGGATTACTATGCTGTGTCCATTTTGCAAATGAGGAAAGCAATACCTGGGGCAGACAGTGCCTTTCATGTCAGTATAGCTGATCCAATATTGGAACTGAGATCATTTGTCCTCTAGTCACACTGCCCAATGATTACACTTGTTTGGGAGTGTTAACTTTATTTCCAGTTATAAGTCAACCAAATTAATATATTGTTACATGTTTTTATGATCACAAATGCCTTGACAACTGACATTTGGCCTGTACTTTTTTTTTTTTTTTTAGCCTGTGCTCCTGTAGGATGCATGGACGACCTTGGGAAAGACAGCACAAAACTGCACTTGACGAATTTCACTGTAACGTACAAAAGACACCCCACTCTCTCACCAAACAGCAAAACTCCTGGTAAAGGGGAAGATGTATTACAAAGAGATGTGAAAGGTTTATCAGAGAAAGCAGTTCTCCAATCATGGACAGATAATGAGCGACCCATTCCTCATGACTGTACAAACTTTCAGGAACACAACTCTTTCGGCAGAAGTTCTCTGGAAGATAATTCGTGGGTATTCCCAAGCCCTCCTAAATCAAGTGAGTCAGCATTTGGGGAAACTAAAAATAAAACTTTGCCTTTACCCATCCTACCGCATTACTTGGATCAACATAATCAAAACTGCCTTTATAAGAACTAATTCTGAAGACATTCATGATTTGGTAATGAGGTTGCTGTACCTCCTGCAATAGTTCTCTTGAGAAATTATTTAATAAACTGAAAGTGGGTTTTGATTAAAATTTTGCAGGGTTCTTCGATGTATACATTTGCACATACTGTACCATATTATGTAGCTGATTTTCCAGTATGGAAGAGCAACACTCCAGCTTCTATTCTGGCTAAGAACCAGATATATGCTAATAATAAACTAATAAACAAGGTGTTTCAAAAAGACAGTTCTAACTTGATGATGATTATAAACTTCTGCCTCTCACATAAAGAATGGAATTGAAAGTTTTTAGACACGGTTTACAAAGCATGTGAAATGCCTAAACTGTTGTTCATTAAAAATAGAGGAAGCCATTAACATTAGAAAAAATGGTAAGTTGCATAAAGGAGCAAATGGCAATGCGAACAGCTTATATTTCTGTTGACTTATAGTGCATAAAGAATAAAAATACAGTGGAATAATAGTATGTAGGTTATTCCATCTCTATATGCTATTGTGTTTCAAAGTTTTAAATCATTTTTAATCACAATGTTATTAATTAAATTTAGAATTGCAATTTGAACCTTAAAACTTGAAGCAACCTGATAATTGAAGCCAACTTTGTCCCAGTATATCCCTCAAGTCCTAATTGAAAAGTGACTAAATAGTAGAAAATCTATGTGGTGTGTGAATAAACCATTATAACCCTATACATCAACCAATTAGAAGTGAAAAGGGCATCGCAAAGGTTTCGGTCTAATCTGTCTCTGCAGGGTCTGTAATAAAGTCATTTTCTTCAAAGGGTCTATACCCATTCATTATGTTGGCCAGCTTATAAATTGTTAGGCTTTGGTTTTAAATGTAATATTTTACTCATTGAGTGGTTTTTAAGTGATTTAGGAATTTAATTCTAAAAATTACAAATTTTTAGAATTTAATTTAAATTTAGAAATTCACAAATTCTGTGCTGTATTGATACAGACAGTACAGTCATAAAATGTCCCCAAAGTCTTTGATCCTGAATAACTTAATCATTTATAAACAAGTAAGGAAACAACAAGGATGGCTTCAGATGGAAACTTATCTAAATTCTTTCAGGGCTGCAGTATTAAGAATATTAGTAATAAAATTATTACTCAATTCATATATCCTTTGCCTGACATAGTGTTTCATGTGGGAAACCTTAGCCTCTTTAATAGACAGTTTGAAATGTTTGTCTTGAACTAAGATTATCACAGATTTCTATATTGACCTAACAGCATATATACATACACAGTGTTCACCATTCACCAGATTTTTCTTTCTATTACCTCACTTATTCAAGCTTGTCTGTGATTAATGGAATTGGTGTCAGATGCTGGAATTTATTCTGACCAATGAACACAGCTGACTCAAGGGAGTAGAATCTCCTGCCAAGTAACAGAATATAATATGCATAAAACAAATTTAAGATTCCAGGCTTTAGCTGAAGGAAGCAACTACTTGTGTAATACCACGGCAGCAGAAACTACTTCTCGTGTAGCTACAGAGGCTGTATATTGTATCTAATCTCTAAGGTTACTGGTTTGCCTTTTCTAAACCAAGATTGGAAATTGTACAATGTAAAGAAAATAAGTTGTATGAGACGATGGCTTGATTAATGCTTTGAACAATGCAAAGAAATTATTTAATTAAAGTTATTTTTGATTGAAATTGAAGTAGAAGTGAAATTTTGTCCTTGACTATATATATTTCCAAGGTCAAGTACTAACTGTGAGTTATTAATTTGACTCATATAAAGGATATTTGTCTTGTTTAACTTCTTTTGAGTGGAGAAAATGCTTTTCCATCTAAACAGAAGGGTATCTGTGAAACATATATGTTAGAAAGTCAGTAGTTAATGTTCTTGGTAGTTTAAAGTGCTAAATAAATGATGTGTAAGGCTATTTAAGAAGATTAGCCAAAAATTGTTTGTACCCAGCCATAATTTTTTAAATGTACACTTCATGATCATCTGTTCTAAGTAAGATTCAAAGAGAAATGAAAGAATGGTCCATCTATAGTTTTATAAACTTGCTCCAAAGGGCTTCCCTTGAAAATTTCTTAATCTTTAGATTTTTATAACGACACATAAATTTATACATCATGACAATGAAGAGAACATAATTAACAATAAAAAGGCCACTCATTTCTTTCTCTTGATCCCCTATTAGCTAAAAAAAATTTTTTATCTTGTCTAAAAGGAAACTGCCATTTTGCCAAAATGGAACCTAAATCATAAGCAGAGCAGGGACATACCTATGTGAAAATCAGAAAATCAAAACGGGAAATTCAGATTTACAGAACTAAAGGGTTGAATCCGGTGAAAACTGATCCAGAAAGGCTACATAGAAGAGGTAGGATTTCCAGGGTAGAAAATCTGGATTGTCACTTAACAAAATAGTATTAGCAGAGGCACAAATGAGCAAGCAAGATAACTGAGGCAGATACACCCACTGGAGAAGTAGACTTGAGTGTGGACAGGCATGGATATTCTAAAAGCTATAAATAAGAGGTTAGTTTTTGACAGAATAAAAAAGGGTGAACATATTTATACCAGATACCCAGCACCTATAGGGAAAGGGACATCTACATAAATGAATCATCCACATAAAACTGAAGTTGGCCCCAGTGATTCTAATCAAAATTATAAAATAGCCACAGATTATGTATTTCACTAGTTTTTGAAAGTATTTTTCCTTTTAATTAACAATTAAGGTCCTGTGCTATAGGAAATGCACCAATACCAAAAGGTCAACAGGAATATAGGCTTGTTTACCGCTATTGCTATGTGACCTCTGGGTCACTGTTCGCTTTGCTTTTGTCTGCTCTAGCAGTCTGCCTCCTTTTGATCTGTGGCCTAGGGGAATGTGGTTTCTTTGGGGTTTAAATAAGAGTAACATAGTTCTTTGAGTGGCTTACTCAAGAGAAAAGTGTGGAACTTGAACGTGCCATTGCTTCTTAGGATCCTCTTTGCTTGCTTTAAGTCCTTTTAAAAATTCAGATGTATTTAATAGGATTGAGGACAAAGTGAAATCTTTTCCTTTTATGTAGTAATTTCTATTTGTGATTTTAATGAGAAATGTAGACATAAAATTTACTTCCCTGGAAACTGGTTGCAATGGCTGTAGTAAAAAGTTAATTGTTCATGGGGTGGGGGGAAAGTAACTTTTAATATAAACTCAACCTGGAACCAAATTACTGCATTGGGACAGAAAATTTTCACATTAGCTCCTGACACCATTACTATGTTATAATAATAACAATAACTTACCATTAAAGAGCATCTACCTAAAATACTCAGTCCTCGCAAAAACTGTCTGAGGCATATTTCCACAGGTAATACAGTTAGTAAGTAGAGAACTAGGAAGGACTCCGGTTAATGACCACTCTGCTATACTGCCTGGTTATTTAAACCACTTTGAAGGTTGTCCATCCCTGCTTTCCTTTAGTTGATTACTCAAATCCCCACAATTAGCCTTTTCTTCTATATCGAACCCTAAAAATCAGTATCACTGTTAACAGAACTACAGTTGTGGGAAAAAATTTGGAAAACTACCTAATTACCAGGCAAACTATATCCCATTCCACTATTTACTACTGCCCCATTTAATAAACATAACTTTAAAATTAAAAAAAAATCTTTATTTCAGATAAGATTAATATTCCCATAATTCAGGATAAAGCAAACACTTCCTTGAGTCCATCATTTTAGGTAAATGTGATTTCCAGGAATAGAGTTACTGAGTATCATTAAATATTTGCCTACATGCTTGTTGGAAGCTTCTGTATCCTTTTCTTAGCAGGAATCCCAGTTTTTCTGAATTCTTCCCTTTCTTTTAGGTATTCCATTTTGCATTCTTCATAAAAGGCAGGATCATTATAACTACAAGAAAGAAAGGAACATCTTTTCAAGTGAATCATTTTATGAAGTACTTAACGTTTTTTAAAAAGAAGGTTTTTAGTAACGATCATAAATTCACTGTAAACATTAGACTACCAAACTAGTTAAAGGAAACAAGAAGACCTAGTGGTTCTCTTAAATAGCATTATCTGAGTGACATACAGCGATGAGAAGCACATAGCCTATCCTCAGGCAGCCCATGGTGTTACAGAGCAGACGGGTGAAGAGTGAATTACTAGTGTGTGTACAAAGTGCTATGTTAGAGATGGTCCCTACCAGTGCACCATAGAAACATGGGGAAGAATGGGAGATGTCAAGGGGAAATGCTGGACTTCTGTTTTGAAAGACCACCAGAAATCCCTATAGAAGGCACATGTGCAACAGCAAAAGACGAGGAAAAACTAAAGCTTAAAGAATGGCAAGTAAACTGGAACCAGTATGGCAAACTATAGGTGGGATTTCTAATAGGGAAGAAGTATATTCTACAAGTGTATTTCACACAGGAGAAAGGGCCTGAGATGAAGCTGGAAAGGGCGATAACCAAATTGTGATAGTGCATTTATGCCACAGTAAAAAGTTAAAAAATCCACCTTGAAGATGTTGGGCATTCTTAGGAGAGCAACTATAAGGTCAGCTTTGTGTCTTAGGTGGCTCGGACAGCAAGCATGTGGCAGACAGGTGGAAAAGGGGATATCCACTGAATAAAATAACCCAGATAAGAAATGATGAGGGCCTAGGCCAAAGGAGTAGCAGCTGTGATGAAAAGGGGCCTGGGGAAGATTTAGGAAATGAAATCAATAGGAAATAACCAGTTAGAGTTAGAAGACAAGGAAGATACTAGGCAACCACATAATTCACAAAGACATAAAATGCAGAAGTAAAAGGAGCCGAGTTCAGTTCTGGACTTAAGAAAGTATTGTGCTATACCATCTGTCAATAATGTGGGTAAAAAAAAAAGTGTGGAATTCAGCAGAAAGGACCTCCATTCAAAGAACTTGGCATATTTCTACTTTATGATTCAAGGAACTACAACAAACTATCAGTGAACATGATATTTAAGATTTAAAAATTTAATTTAACTTCAAAAATCTAAATTTACCTTTGTGTCCTTCTTTTGAGTTATTGCAACCTTCCTAGGAGTTAAATTAAAAACAAATTGCAAGGCTGGCAAAGGTCTTAGAGATAGTCTGATTCAGTACCCCTTATCATTAGGTTTACCTTAAACCCATCTATAATATATTCTGTAGAGCAACCTGTTCATGAAAATAAACTGGTTAAATCACATGAAAATCATGTCTTTGTTAACTGATTTCACATATTTAATCAGATATGCTGACCCATATAACTTAAAGAGATCATAAATGGTACTTTTTTAGAATAATCTAACAAATTTTAGCCAGAAATATCTGTCGGGGGAGGAAGTACAGAATATATTACACTGAGTGAATTAAATAATGTATTCTTACCTACTACATATACTACACACATATACACAGAAGCACAGACAGTTAGTTAGGTAACTACTTACTAAGAGGTTAGGCATTCTTTTAATGCAGAATTTTCTTTCCGGCATTTTACTACCATGAGGATTCCAGACTCCTTGCAACATTTGGTAAAATCTGAAATAAAAAATTGGGGGAAAAGTGACTTGTAATTACATCAACACAATTTCTGACAGTTCTAAAAAATAATTTAACATCTATTACCTAGACTGTGCTTGGCACATGACATGTTTCACCAAAGACATGTGCATGAGTAAAAAGCAGTATGAGATGAGTTTCAATTACTTTGTGGAAATACACAGTAAGATTTAAAAAGAGAGAAGAACTCTGAGAAAGTGAGGAGGCCTCATGAAGACAGATGGGACTTCTAATAGAGAAAAAGTACATTCCACAAGAAATGATTAAGGGAAATAAAAGAGGAGCTGTTTCCCAGCTGTGCAGTCTCTGCATGTCCAGTGTCTGCATATGTTCTGGTGGCTTCAAGGTGCCCCATTCTTTAAGACAACCTCACCATGCTGCCTTAACTTCTGACAACAGGGCTCCTACTCCATTCTCGGGTCTACTCTTAGATGCCCCAGAAAATTTCAAATGGCTTTCTGTCGATTTTCTGTTCTGGTAGTTGGCCTACTATACTAGCCCCTCTGGTATTTTGCCTTCTCAGGATCACCAGCTGAGAAAAGCCTGGTGCCGTAATCTACCCACAGCTGGGCCACCGGCTCATCTTTTTTACCTGTGCTCAGGGTCAGACTCGGTTGTCCCGTGTCCTTTCTGAAGGACAGCGTGGACTTAGCTCCCTACCATGTATACCAACTCTCCTGAATTATTCCAGTCCTGCCTCCTGACCTCTGGCTGCTCTGGTTCCCGGCTTTGCCACTTCACGTATCTATCTCCTGTAAGTAACCATCAATTTCCAAGTCAGATCTTAAATTATGACATCATCCCCACAAAGAAGTGGTAGGCAAAAAATGACTTTTTCTGAATATTTTTATAACTCCTTTAAATACAAAGTTATCAAGACCTTTGAGCTATGTGTTACCCTTCCAGTTACTAAATACAATTTATGATTATTTTAAAGCAAGCAGGTAATTTCAGGAGTCTCCATGAAGACACATAATGTGTAACAAAAATATTTTTAAACCACAAGCAAACTGGAAAAGATTGAGACTTACTAAATGCATAAAAACCCATTAGAGGGGCTTTAACTGGGACAACAGCCTAATAAGTATCCATATCTACCTGCAAACTTTGAAGGATAAGTGGATAAAGGCAGTAGATGCAGGAAATAACTAATGCAAATAATTTATTGTGTCTGGTCACGTTAAATTATGGTGACATATAATACGCCACTTCAAATATACACAGGATTAGCTGCCTTTAGCTTCGTGTTCACTAGTCTCAGAAGTCCCACCAATTACTCTGATTCCCGAAACTATTCAGGATCGTCTTCCTTCCAACTACAAATGTTCTCATTCCTGTCTGTGCAGGTGAGCTGGACACACAGGCCAAATCAGACCAAGGGAGTATCTTTCGTGCCCTTGACTAGACTCCCTCCAACTCAAAAAGGCACAGCAGACATAGAGGCAGCTCATTATCCGTGGAGATCATGGCTACCAAAAACTTTGACCCTGGAATGTCATTAGCATTCCTACATGTTAATTTTCCTATTTATAGCACATTAAAATCTACCTTTCTCGAAGAATTATAATCCCAAATACTAATTAAAACATAAGCAACACCGAGAAGGAAAATGTGCAGCAAGCTAACCCAGAAGGGACCGAATCTGGCTAAGGGCTTCCAGAAGGGAACTGCTGTGATGATAGGGGTGAAGAACTGGAGGTTGATCCCTGGCACCATTACATCCTTCCTGTAACCTCACACCCCTACTCCAGACCAGTTCACTCAATGTCTGGAAGAAAGAATTTGCCTAACGAAATGTCCTAGCTGACCAAACCCCAGCACTTTTCTGGAAAATGCAAACACAATGGCTATTATCAAAAGTCCACTTTCCAAATTTAACAAACCCAGTATTTTTACAGAGAGAAATTCACAATATATATTTGGGCATTGCATCATTTTAAGATTTTCTTTTCTAAAAACAGAAATGCCCTTAGTTGGGAATTCATGTGAGATAGCATTTATGTGTTCTGATCCCAGTAAAGCCACAGTCTACATATTTTCACACTTGTCCAAATCTCTTCAGGCCGGAATAACTGTGACTGGCCTAAAGCCTCAAGCTGTTTGTAGGGTTTTTGTCACTTGTTTAGCAACAAGATTTTAATGAGGATCTTTCTTTCATACCACATTAGCATACATTCATATAATAATGATGTTGCTAATACTGCCAACTGATTTCTAAAATGGTATTCTGAAACAAGCCCAACTTGAATTGCTCCTTTCAATATAATATTAAATGTTAAAAAAAACTTTGTTTTAATTTAATTTTAATTACCATTATACAAAAATTAAATTTCACTCACTTAAGTCTATCTTAAGGTAATATGAATGAATATCAATAAATGTTGAGAGTAGCAACATTATTAAAAGTTATTTCAAACTTTAGAGAAAAGTAGTTAAAGAAAAATTCAAGACGTTTTTTCTTAAAGATATCAAGAACATGGGAGAGTATACTTCTTTCATAAACCCTAATTTCTCTGAGAAAAAAAAACACTTCATACCATATAATACCCTATTGGTAAAAATATTCTTTAGGTATAATAAAATTTTTGTCAAGTACATCTATGAAAAATAGAAGGAGATAAAGCCTTCTCCTAACTTTAAGGTAATGGATAAAATATTCACAGTGTATTTAAGTACAAGTAGCATATAAAATTTCCAGTTGATATATTAAGAAATCCTTTGAGGGAACTTCTGTATAAAAGCAGTAAGAGAAATAAATGGTTTAGAATTGTTTTTAACTCAATTTATGGAACTTCTATTTTAATATTTCAGTAACCCCCAAGAATAAAGTTCTGAATTAAGCCAAGGATAAGTATTTATGGAGCAACTCTGCATGGAAAAAGAAATGCTGAGCAACTTGATGTTTTACACTTTTCATTTACTCAGGTTTAGGAAACATTACTTCACAATCGCAGTGAGTCATCCAGCTACAACTAAAGCATCCAATGAGGGATGACACTTTGAAAACATAACAAATCAAAAGAAATAACCCCCAGTGTTTCCTGTCTTTGACTAGAACCACTCCATTTCTACCTCCACGGACTTACACTCTAAAAAATCCCGAGCTTATACATTTTTACGGTACCCCTTTAGACACAGCACTCATTTCTAACTTTCTAGTACTTTATTTCCTTAATCAGTAAAGTATTTATAAAGTATCTATTTTTCCAGGTATATTATAAAAAGTAAATATACATTTGGGTGCCATATAATTTAGACTTTTAGCCTGTAAGCTTATGTGTAATATTTCTGTGATTACACCATCTTCTTGATGGTTTCACCTTTAAATCTAGAACTTCAATTTAATCTAAATGAAAAACATTTTAGAGGTCTTGCTTATTAATGACATGTAGTAGGGAAGATTTTAAAATCACCCTTAGTTCATATTATATCACTAACTTTACAACTGGAAATTGTAAGCATAAAACACTTTGCTTTTATAGAACTGGGTAAGAATAAAAAGAGAGACATACTTTAAACAATATATAAAAGATCTTTGGACCGGTTTAGAATCCTAAGAGATTTTTAAAACAGAGAACTGAAAATGATACAATTTGGGGAGGGCCTAGGTAGGAGCCAACTTTTAGTAAGATCTTCCTGCCGTTTTAAATTTGTAGTATAGAGTTAAGTCTACAACTCATTTTTTCTCGGGATGAGCTATCTTTGAGTGAAGAATTCTGTAGTGAACAGTCTAACCTCAGGTCCCTGTAGACAATGCCTGAGTGCTGTGCTGTGCTCAGTCATTGCCATCCCTTCTGGGAGCTGCGAAGTAAAAAGTGCCCGAAGACAACAGGACGTCACCCTTAGTTCTGAGAGCGCCAGTTTCAAATGCAGTGACGACGCCCGGGGCCAAGGCAGACACAGTGAAGACAGTGGACTGTCCTCCTTCTAATGACTGCACAGCGGAAGCAAACCACAGAGGCCACAGAGCACATTATCCTCTGTACAGATGGCATGAACAGTATTTCACGAAGTTCGCAGGAAAGATTCTGTAAACTGTTCTGACTCTATGTACATGTATTTATACAATACAGTCATGAAACTGTAGACCTCTTTGCAAGCTTTGAGTCAAACAGTAGTTTGACTTTCGGAAAGAATTCGATCCAATTCTATTCCAAACAAAGCCAAGTATTATAAATAATTCCAGACTGGATGAGAAGTTAGTTAGGACAAGTTACCTTTAGTTGAAAAAAGTGTACCAGTGAGTATTTGCCAGCAAACATTCTAACAACAACAAAATTCCAAATTTTCAAGGGATCTATAAAATCAATCATTCAATTAGAAAAACATAACATGCAGAACTGACAGTGTCTTTTACAAGACACAAACTGAAACAGTGGCTTCTTCACTACATTCAAACCTTTAAAAATGTTGCGGTTTCCAAAGGTAAAAGTAAAATACAGCAGATGGGAAATTGCCAAATCATGCAGTCACCTTAATGCTTAAGAAGAGATCCAATTGGAAACATTTCATTTTTCTTTCTTACAGTACCAAAGTGTATAGCGTGATAAAGAATAAGATACTCCTGCTTTTGCAATAGCAACAGCAGTAACAGTAGCTAACACTTGTACTTCCTATGCACCAGGCACTGTCTAATGAGTTAATTCAGGCTTCAGAGGTATTAACTGACTCAATAAATTAAAATTTTAATTTTTTCACATATTCCTTCAGTACTTATCCATAAACTCACAAAATATCTATCATTCATTCAACAAACGTTTTCAAAATACTTACACTATGTGCCTAGCATTGTGCTAGGTTCTGGAGCTTCCATGCTGAACAAGACAGAGAGGGTCCATGCCCCGTTAGCAGAAGCTAACGATAGTCCCTGAGGAGGACAGACAATCAAAAAGTACTAGCCATTGGGTTTGGCATCTGTTCTCATAGGGGAAAGGCAGGGAGAGAACTCGGATGCAAGGGATTGCATCTCCGAACTTCTT